GACACAACATGAAAAGGAGTTAAAAGGCACCTTTTGATGCTGCAATATATGCCTTCATTGAACTGGCCTCTGAAAAGTTTTATTGGGACAAGTTCATAGTTCAGTTTCATTCAGAATGTTACCTCATCACCATGCAATTAACCATTTCTGGGCTTTTAAAGATACAATGTCCACACAGAGTAGACACTGTAGACCTCGGAAATGAACAGTTTCTTCATGTAGTGTCTTCATATCTGCCCACACAGTTTTACAGTAAAAGGAGCATGTTCATATTTCCCTTTTGGTGTGCACAGTCTGGAGCGTGGGTGACTTGGTCCTCAATATCAAGGATGTGTTCTGTACTCTAAGTAAATACTTTGGCAATCTGTGTGAGGATGGAAATCCCCCTAAGATAAAGGCAGAATCCTACCACCCCTCCCATGCCCAGAGCCTACAGCTTCTGAAGTGTTTCAGGGCCCAGTGGTGTGTACAAGGGCTAATTGCACTGAAGCAGTCATCTGCCTGCAGAAAGAGCTGGAACATCAGAGCCACTTCACCAAGAATAATTCTATTGGACGTCTGAGAATCTTACTGATTATTTCCTCAAACTGTGAAATCCATTATGTGAAAGCTGCAAATCTACAGAGTGCATAGGTTTAATAGAGAATTGAGAAATCAGCTTCTTGTTCTTGTGAAGTTGAGTTATGGAGCGTTCTGACATTTGCTAAAGCTTTATTGTCAAGTCAGGTGAAAGATGCTTTTGTCTATGCAGTCCCCTTAATACCCATGACAACAAGGAGAGTTTTTTGGTAACACCTGAAAATAAATCAGTGTATCTTTTAAAGTAACATCATTTATCCTGTTTCCAAAGTGAAATAACTCAAAACATGAGAAAAATGAGCCAAACTTCCTTGCACAATGCTTATGTACGACACACTATAATGTTTAAGATCTGTAATCATGTGTTTTTCCAGTATGTCTTTGAATCATTCAGAGCTCAAGATGATAGCTGCTTGGTAAATGATGTAGCAATTCAATATTTATTTTTGTCCATATTGTTTAGAGATTCTACAGGTCCCTTACTGACAGACACCATAAAACTGTATCAGCCATGGGCAAAGTGTTCCAATGGCTGGAGGAAGTAACACTGGATGCTGCTCCACTTTCCATTGATAATATTTTTTTTATGATTGGGTGTGAATCATTACTTTTAATTAATTTTTTATATCAATATTTGGAAACAAAGGCTAAAAATCATTTGAATTCCACATTTTTGAGAGATATTTAAGAAAAAGTTTGCAAAAAAAAAAAAAATCAATCATTGACATGAATGAATACCTGTTTGGAATAACTTGGGAAAAAAAGCCTGCCTGTGGTAAACTTGGCTAGCAAAGTCTTCTTCCCAAGTAATCATCTATGTTACTATATTGAATGTGTTTGGTGAAGGGGGCTCTCCAAGCAGGTAAATGATTGATTTTCAGTCTGACTGCCAAGTAAGAAAAACATTAAAAATTTATTTTTAAGTGCTATTATATCTTTCCTCAGAAATACAAAAGACACAAAACTTTCCCTGGTGATTACAATTTTTCATATAGCTCAAAAAAAAAAAAAATCTGGTTTGTGCTTATGCAAAGAAATTGAGTTGTTGAAAAGTGGTCTTTTCCAAAACTGATGTAGGAAAAACCAGCCTTTTACCCAACAGCTTAGAAGTCTGAGCCCTCACTGATGTGCAGGAATTCAGAATCAAGACCATCTCCGACAGAGAACAGTTTAGCCTGGGAGACACCATGTCAAGGAGGAGGAAGGAGGACTTAAAAAAAAAAAAAAATTAGAAGACTTTTCATGGGTTGGGAAGCAGATCTGTTTTATGGTTTTGTTCTGTTTTTTTATTCAGGTACAGCTGGAAGAGGATGTGTATGGTGTGACCACCTCAAATAGCCTCCTAGTGTGAGTCCTGAAACAGGAGAGTTTTTATCTCATGCCTATGATGTGCCTGGCAGAAGGTGTTATGTTTCTAAGGGATTGCAAAAGCCAGTGGCTTAGAGTGCTTTTCGACCTGGGCTTTCTTTGGAGCTCTTCCACTTTGTAGAAAATTAATTGCATACGTACTGAGAACACGCAATGATTTTCCCATGTGATGAGTAGGAAATTTGTTGAAGCCTAGAAATACCTGTGTTTAAAAGTGAGCTCTTGGGGGAGTCAGGCATTCCTTCCACATGCAGGACTACAACACAACTGGCTGTTTAGGCCACTTACACCTGAGGCAGGATTCAAGGGTGGAAATGACCCTGATTTTCCCATAGCAAGTTCCCCATGTTATATAAAGGTTACATCATGCTGTCATTGTCTTATGTACAAGTGCTAATCATGTTAACAATGGTATGAATTCAACGGGTATTTGCTAAAAAAGCAGGGGTGAATAAGCTCCATTTTTTTTCTGGCAAATTTACTTTTTTCTTAAAAAACAATTACCTAGAGGCACTCCTGAGTTAATCACAGAATCTCATTTGCTATTTTACAATGATTTTTGCACTTCAAACCAGTTTGATGATTTTTCATATTTGCATTTTTGAATCTGTGTCAACTAACTGTGGCAGGAGAGCCTACCCTTCATAAGACCTAAAATCCAACACAATGCACTGCTGGTGCCAGTGTGCTGTCTTGGTGTTAAAGTATGCTGAGACCATGGTGGTTCACCAGACTGCTATTGAAACAGGATTTGACAGATAAGCTAGTCTGCTGGCTTGTAGATCTGTGACTAGCAGTCCCTCACTTTATACTATAAAGGTCCAGTCCCCTGGCATACAGTCAGGTTCATCTAACATAACCCTTCTTGGGGTGCATGTGTGGAGATTCCTCCCTTGGCTGGGGATGCCCTCCAAGGTTACTCCCACGAGTGTTGGTATGGGTGAGTTCCGCCAGATCTCTACTTAATAAATACTCCTTTTTGCCACCTTTAGTGCAACTGCTTCAATAATGTTTTGTTACAGTGCACTATACTACTTTATGCTATATTATACTCTACTAGTAGATTTTTAGTGTTTATATTGTATAGTAAATAATTCTGATTAAGATCTTTTGTCTGATCATTTGTATAAAATAAATTATTCGTTTTATATAAATACTCTCATTTTGCCAGTCTTTAAAACCTGCTGGGCACTACAACCTCCCTCCCAAACTGATCTCACTGGGGGGTCTGGCATCTGTGCCCCAGAGACATCTCACCTTAGGGGAAGGTTGGAGGGACGGGTACTAACCTCATCTTTCTCACCAGATTGCAGTACTCCAGTAAGACCCACTCCTCACCCAGCCAAGCCTCTACACATGGAAACTCTGGTAGGAAAAGGGAGGACAAGGGCTGCACACACAAACACTGTTCACCCGCTGTAAAAACAAGCAGTGTCAGAGCATCATCACTAAGGTAGGAAAAAAAGGGAGGGAAGAAGAAGGAATAACAATGAGGGAGAGATAAAACAGGAAGAGGAATACACAGCGTCAGGTGGAACTATGCTGTGTACACTGGCCCAGACCAAAACTAGCACTGTAGTTAATGTGAGACTGCAGTAGTATTGGCACTTAATAATTTCAGCCTAATTTGAATGCATCTTGAATTATGATAGTGTCATGATATGGCTCTGTTGCTCCTCACTGATAAGTGAGTCTTCAAGTTTATGGTCTTTTATCTCTTCTGTTGACCTTCTTCACTTCATCCTGTGTCTGACATTTCTCTCTTAGACTTTGGACAAGATATTGTACTTTTCTACAGTACCCCAAAAAAGCACTGCAATCAATCTTTTAAAACGGTAAGTCTGGATTTTGCTATCAAATACTTAAGAGAATATTTTTCTCTGTCCCTGAGCAGAGACTGAGTTTCCCTTGCAGGAGTTTTTTCTTCACTTCCCCTATTCAATTCTTCGAAGATGTGTATTTGCAGAAAGAAAATTTATGGTTTTGTTCCCATGGTCTCCTCTCCTAGGTTGTCAGGAATTATCCAGGTTAAGGGCTGTCTTTCTTGTTTCCTCATTCTTTGTGTGATTCACACAAAGATCTTCCCTTCTCTCTACTTCAGACGATGGACTACTCCTCATTCTAGCTCACCGGCTCAGGTATTTACGTGTGCAACAAATAATATTAATGGGAAAAAAGTATTTTAAGTGCTCACTCCCACCCAGCACTACAAAGAGCAATACCGCCAAGGAGTATTTTTTTGACTTCACGCTAGCAGGCAATTTGTAATTTTGCGGCTAGGAGCAGCTGGATTCCTGTTGAGGAGGAAGTTTTCAGGGCTTGAGGGTGCCTTTCCTTCCTTCTGCCAGCAAACAACGATCCACGCCAGGATTTGCTTTCTGCTTCTGTATTTCGGCGATGCAATGTGCAGCACGTTTTTCTCTGTGTATGTGTGTGAGTGTGTGTGTGTGTGAGCGTGTGTGTGATGTGTGTGTTGTGTGTGTGCGTGTGAGGCTCTCCCTCGCTGTGTCTTGTCTCCAGGATTTCTCCCTGCCTGGCTCCGGAGGCTGCTCCAGCGCTGCGCGGAGCAGAGGTTTCCCCGGCTCCCGTAAATACAGGCACACGCATCCAGAGCACCACACGCACGCACAGCACACACACACACACAGAGGCACACAGGCACGCTCCGAGCTGCTGTCCAGTCCATCCCCACGCCGGCTGCCTTTCCCACCACCTCCATCCAGCCTGGCAGAGGCGGCAGGCACAGCTCCGTGGCGGATCTCGCTGCTGCTGCCCCGGGACTCCGCTCGCAGCAAGGCGACCGCGGTTTCAATCTTCACAACCTACAGCCAGATTTTTGCCCCCTTTTTTCCTTTCCCTTTTTTTTTTTTTTTTTTTTGTTTGGGGGTTTCTGGTTGTGTCTTTTTTTTGTTTGTTTGTTTGTTTGGGTTTTGGGGTTTTTTTGCCCTTTTTCTTTTTTTTTTTTGGCGTGGGGCGAGCGCTTTGCTTCTGGCTTTTGGAGAAGGAGCCGGGGGGTAACAAGGCTACCGCTCCCCTGCCCCCGCCGTGCGCGCATGTGTGTGTGTGCGCGCCCACCTCCTCCCCACCTCGCAAAAGTTTGTCTGGGCGGCCGGGGGGCTCCCGGGCCGCCGCCCCCGCAGCCGGGGGGCGCGGCGGAGGCGCGGCGGGGCGCTGGAGGCGGCGGCGCGGGACTTGCGCGCCGCGCGGGAGTTGCGCGCCGCGCCATGCCGGCGGCGCGGGGGGCTGCGCGGCGCTGCGCCCTGCCGGGGCCGCCGCTGCCGGGGCCGCCGCCGCCGCTGCTGATGCTTCTGGTGCTGCTGGTGCTGCCGGCCGCGGGGGCCGAGGGCAAGGCGCGGAGCTGCGGCGAGGTGCGGCAGGCGTACAGCGCCAAGGGCTTCAGCCTGGCCAGCGTGCCCTACCAGGAGATCGCAGGTAAGGAAGGGGCCGCGGCAGCGGGGCGCGGGCGGGGGCCGCGGAGCGTGGACGGCGCTGCCGCCGCCGCTGGGCTGCGCACACCCCCGCGGGAGCGCGGCCGGGGGTGGCGGGGGCGTGTGCGCGGTGCGGAGCGGCTGTGCCGGCCCGGGCGGCACCCGGGGGCTTCCCGGCGGAGCGTGTGTAAATAATGATTAAACAAACACAGAAACTAAGGGGGTGGGGGGTAAAAAAATAAATAAAAAAAAAATAAGGAGAGCTAGGGGGACGCGGGCTAGCTCAGCCGCGGCTCTGTTCGCCGGCAGAAAGTTCTTGAGAGTTGCAGCCGGGCGGCGAGAGGCAGCGGGCGGGTCCGCAGTGGCGGCTGCCTCCGCTGCCGCCCTGTGCGGGCGAATAACTTTGCCCTCTGCCCGCGGGCACAGGGAGTGCGGGAGGCTGAGGAGGAGAGTGAGGAAGGCAGTCCTGCTCCCCTCCCGCACCCCGCCGCGGCCCCGGACCGGGCGGGTCGCCCCTTGGAGGCGCCGCCGGGCGCCTCGGCCGCAGCCCGGATCGAGCGGAGGCACCGGCTGCCGGAGAGAGGCACCCACTCACATAGACACACACCCGCTTCTCCGCCCCGGAGCCCGGGCAGCCTGTTACGTGGCTCATTCCGTCTGCTGAAACATGCCTACAACAGGTTATATCTCAATCCACCTACGAAGGTGTTGGGAATGTTTTTTTGTTGTAATTTTATTTCCCTGCTTTTCCCTACAACCTTATCACTATTGCATGACCGAATGAATGAAAAATACGTCCGGGGCCGATAATCCTTTAGCAATCGGAGAGCACCACAAAAAAGAGAGAAATTATATGGGAAGACATGAGCTGAGGCTTCTTAAATCGGACTGCTTGAGCCCTCAGGAAAGGTTTATGCTTTGCCACTGGCACTTTGCTGTTAGGTCCTGCTATTTGTAGAGTGAATTAGATGCTCCTTGGTTTGCTCGCTTCCTTTTCAAAGTTGGAAGCAGTAGATTTATATTCCTTGAGGTGAAATAACACCACAGTTATTCACTGTGCAGTATTTAGCACTTTACGTGAAGAATGATAAATGTGGAAAATCTCAGGACAGCGGGGCTGTAGTTCACAAAGATACTGAGAAGGTTGTTCCGTGTTGCCAATGCAGAACAGACCAGATCTCTCCACAGCCACGTTTGGACCCACTGATGTGCTTTAGGACATAGCAGGAGAGTAAAGGGCCTGTGGGTGTAACTATTCCACAGGCACCTTCATTCCTCAGGCTTACCAATTCTCTGATCTTTCTGTGCATTTTCCTTTAATTTATTTTCAGGTGGCTCATCAGTTATTTGAAATCATGAAATCTCTCCTGTGAGCCACAGATCCTTTGAATATGCAGTCAAGCTTCCCCTTTGCTGTTATACCAGTTGCTTTGAAACAGGGTGGAGGTTATGTTCTCTCCTGTTAAAAAAGGAAATTCAATAAATTTCAGACTTCTATTAACTTTGGTTAAACACTTGTTGCTTTCAGCTCACAGAGAAGTTTTATTGTCTCATATATTTTCTGAATGTATCGTGCAAAGTTGACACATAATTTTTAAGTAAGCCCAGCATTTGCTCATTTCTGTTGACATGTATCAATATACAAAGACTGAGTAATTAAATATTTAGTAGTAGTTCAATCCAGAATTACTCAATGGTTTCCTGCTAAGTTTCATAAGTAATATCTACTTTTATGATTAAGAAGTACATGATTTATGCAGGTATGAGTTATTTTTTCTGAGCTTTCTATTTAAGTTGATTGTTTTCTTTGTGGTTTATCTGCCTGGTTACTAGTTGGTGTGTCAACTTTTGAGCAGTTCTTTTTGTAGCTGTTCAAGTTACTCAGTTGTTGGAAGACTAGGATTGCTTTAAGGTGTGTTTCGTAGTATGCTCTTCTTATATGTTTCTGAGAGGTTGTGTAATAAGTGTTCATGCAGCATGTTGCAGTGAAAGCTATGTGTTTGCGACCCGGTGCAATGATGGAAGTTTACTTAAAACAATCAATGTACAAGTTTCAGATTCTTTTTCCTTTTTTATTTTTTTTATTTTTATTTTTATTTCATTCTTTCTTTTTCTACCTTACTGTCTTGGTTAAGGAAGCAATTTGTTTTGTTACAAAAGAAGTGTAGTATGTCAAAGGCCTCATGTTTCAAGGAGTTCAGGGAACTTTAATTAGAGTCATATTTCTGAAAAAACATTGTTTTCAAAAGATTTTGCCTTAATGCCTTGATAATATAATGACAAATAGTTATGCACAGCGTGGTGTGTGTGTTTGATTTAACATTAGTCAAATGTTTTAAATTGTCATTTATTTAAAAGCTACTTTCTAGCCAGGACTATTGAAATGAATAAACTGAAGGCACAGTATGTACGTACTGATGCAAAGTGTTTATGTGCTGATGTAAAGAGCTGAAGAATCTGTTTAAGTTAGAGAGGCTACGGACACAGAGTTATCTCTCTGTGAACGGAACTGCAAGAGAAGACTTAGATAACTTCTGTGACATTATTTATACTGTCACTTTTGAACAGAAAAGGTAGAAGTTACAGATTAAAAAAGCTGTCAGTTTTTGCATCTTAAGGCAAGGATTTCTTTCAGTATTTTGTTGCACATGAAATATGTTGAAGTTGGTAGTAATGGGATTAGTTCACTGTACTTATACAACAATGCTAAATTTTTCAATGTAATTGTATAGAAGTTATTTGTAATCAACCTACTGTGTCTGACATCTTGGCTGATCACCTAATTCTGGTGCTGTGACTTGCATTAGAGTACAGCATATAAAGTTGTTTTCCAACATAGGTTGTCAAAGTGAGTCCTTAATAAAGGAGCTTTGCCTGGGAATGGGGGGAGGAAGAAAATTTGAAGTATACATAATATGCCGCTGTGGGCTTGATTCTGTGCATCAGTCACATGCAGGGTTGGTAGCCGGAGCTTGCCGTGTAAGCTTGGCTGTCCTTGCAAAATCTGCCCTCTCTGAGTGCTGCTGTGGAGTATCCTACATGTGAAGAAGAGTTCTACTGTGAGACTCAGGCTGCCGTGACCCAGCATTCATGAGCGTTAGCGGAGCTCCCGAGGACTTTGCAGGAAATGTTTTGCTGTAGGAAAATCTGTGATTTGAAAGTCAACACAACAGAGGAGAATCATAGCACATATCTGTTAGCAATAGTTGTTTAACTCCAACTATGATTTCAGTAACTTACATAATCTTAGAGGAAGCCATGAAAATGAAACATCGAAGTTAAACTTGGAGTGTGCCCTTACCTAAAAGATTTCTGAATGAAAGTGGATGTCTGACTGTTTAAAGTAATGTATGTGTCTGTTTTGTGCCTTTCTACTTTCAGTTGTTCTAGAGATTCTGAAAGGTGAAGGGTGTGGGGGTTTTGTGTGTTGTGGTTTTATTTGGAGTTTGTTGTTTGTTGGTTTTGTTTGTGGATTTTTACTACACACTGAATAATACCTTATTTAGAGAAAGACTAGAAGTGTTCTGGTAAAGTGTCCAATTGTAAAGATGTTGAATTCTAAATGCCGTGTTAGAAGTATGTGGGCTTTGTTCTTCTGCGCAGATGATGAACAAGGTGAGATTCTGGCAACACAGAGACACTGTAGTCAAAGTAACTGAAATGAAAGCAGAAGCAAACCCTTCATTTTGAAGGTCAGGAGTCACTTAAAATTGTGCTTTGATGAATGGGCTTCATACCAGCATAATACAGAGGTGTTGACTGAAGTGAGCTAGCGAACATATCACAGTTGCTTGCAATTCTAAACTGGTAATAATTATGGTAATAATAATAACAACAGTAATACCTTGACAGTCACTCATGCAATTCAGCTATTAGTCCATGTTAGATGTTCCCAAGATAATCCTTCTGCACGTTCTGCTTTCCTTTAAGCAGCTCTAAAATGCAATGATAGATTGACAGAATAGTGAAAAACGCTCCTGACCAATTCCGTATCCAAGCACTTACTCATTAATACCTTCTTTTACTGTTTCTCTACTGCTGTCATGGAGAACCGTGTGAAGAAAATACCTGTACTCCAGGAGGAAGACAGGGATTCATAGGCACCTTGAATGGTTGCCTCAGCAGTGTTAAAAAAAAAATAATAGACTTACTAAAATCAATACTATATGCAGTGCAGCTTGTGAAATCTGTGTTTGTCCGTTAGAGATTAATTCGCTCCTGATCTCCATGATGGCAATGAAGATGGACATGGAATTTCATGTAGTCTTTGTACGTTTTTTTTGTTTTAGCGCTGTTGTAGTTGTATCCTTCAAATTGTGTGTGACTGCCTCTTACCTCTGTTTGCAATTTCAGTAACTGCAGCATCACCTCCCCTTACGGCCTCCCTTATTTTCATGTTGTGGGTGCACGGTGCATGCTAATAAATTGGTGTGTGCGTTTAGCTAGGAGGATGTGAAGCTTTCCTAAGACCTGGATTTACTGTCACTTCTGTACATATTTACTGGTTTGCATGCGACTGATGCCATTAAAAGGAATACAACTTACGTACGCACATCTAAGCCTAAAGGTACTGTTTGTAAGATCAGGACCTTTAAAAAGAAATAGCATGTTTTTAATGCTTATAAATAATTCATTTTTGAATGAGAATTTTAAATCTTGGCATCTGGAGTTTCCCAATGTGACTTTATGCTTGAGTATCTTGGAAAGAGGGACCTTCAAGTAGAAAAGGCGATGCTTTAATAATTAGTGTAATGATTAATTTCAGTGTGTTGTCTCTAATCATCTTTTTTCTTTTTGTTGTCAGTCTGATTTATAATCAAAAAGCATACCTAAAGCTATAGTATTTTCTACACTTCTAAGCGCTAATGTATTAAATTGTTCTAATACTGTATTAGTACTTATTTCATCATATGCTGTTGTGAAATACTCCTGAGATTAGGTGGTGTTCAGAAACCAGAGAGGTCAAGCACTATGTTAAAAGCTCAGACCATTCTTTTTATATTA